AACATCAAATTTACACATGGATTTTTATTTCACAATAACTGCACACATCGCGAAAACGCGAAAATTTAATGCATGTGAAATATAAGTGTAGTATGGCAAGGAAAAATTAGTTTTAATAAAATTCGTCTAGAATATGTGATTAATTTCTCCACGATGAGAAACAAGTCCTGTTATTATTATCATCTGCTTTTTTGCATTGAATACTTAAACCAAATTGAGTAATAACACTTGCAACTACAGTATTTGTACATCAGATTCATAGTCGTAAAATATCAGTACTTTCTTCAAGGATGGAGATAACATGTGGTGAAACCTCTTTTCGAGTTGTAACGATGGCTTTCATTTGTTGGTATGCTCGGGCGTACTTAATAACATTAGGCCGCATTTTTGTGCTACCCCTTTGGTTGGGTATAATTGGGCGACAGTTACACAATTTTCCGGGCGGCTACTATTGCACACGCGTGATTTCTATTGGTTAAAATCAGTCGCTGGAATAAAAAAATTCGCACGGAAAACATGAACAATTCGCGCGACCATTCGCGCGGTTCTGGCGGCGATACCGCGTCATAGATTCCCGTACGATGTCCAGCCGATGTTAGTAATCGACCGGCGCCCGTACGATAAATCGCAGCTTGTGCCTCGGTCACATTTCCTCCGATTCATCGACCGGCCCCTGGCCGATTGCAGTATTTTGTTCAAAACTGATTTCATATTGAACAAACTTTTTTTTAAATCATGTACAAGATTTTAGGAGTTCACATCTGACCTCCAATGGGTGGTATCGATATGGAGAACTGAATTCAACAATGTTTTTCTCTTAAACCAATCATTGAAATCATTCTGTAAAAAACACGGTATTTTATGTAATGTTGACTGATTGACAACAATTTAATGCAAAAATAATTTAGAAATATTTTATATAACTGTTTTTGTTAACATTTTTTGTTTTTTCAGTGCAATTGTTTTTGTTCCTTTCTACCAATTCTTGAGAATGAAATAAAACGTATTTCCGAACCTTGTTGGAACAAAATAGCAAATACAACATGTTTATAGACCTCTCAATATTATAGTTATACAAAGGAATTGGGTTGATTTTAAAAAAGTATTCAAAAAATTAAAACAAAATCCCCCAAAATAGATAAAAATCAAGATAAACCTTATAATTCATTAACAAGATACTTTTTTAAAATCAACCGAAATTTCCTTTGTACACTTACAATATTGAGAGACCTAAACATGTTGTCTTTATGTGTTTTGTTCCAATGAGGTTTGGAAAGATGTTTCATTTCACTCTGGAATTTTTTTTAGATTTTTTATGACTGGTTTAAGAAAAACGTGTGTTCAAAAAGTTCTCCATATCGATACCACTCCTTTGAGATTTGAACTTCAATTTTGAGCAAAATACTCAATCTCCTTCTAAGATCTGTCCAAAAAATTAGAAGTCAGTATTAGCTTAAATATTTGAATGGTAAAATATGCCTATCCTAAACTTTCTGTAAATCAATTTTTATGTTAATACCTCAATGTTATGATACTATGAAACTATGGCTGGTTTCGATCCTTATATTTCTTATGTCATAGCCGGATACACCTAAAAAGGTGCCAAGTGAAATGATATGAATTAAGTGCCAATTTCTTAAACAATTTCTACACACAGCATACAACATGACCTATATTTTACCTAATTCTTACCCTTGAACCCACAAAGCAATACTAGTATACAGGGTGTGCCAAAAAATTTTGCAAATTTTTCGAAAGGCTAGAAAAGTATAATAACATTGAGGTATTAACATAAAAATTGATTTACAGAAAGTTTAGGATAGGCATATTTTACCATTCAAATATTTAAGCTAATACTGACTTCTAATTTTTTGGACAGATCTTTGAATATCAATGGTAAATTGTTCATGTGTCAAAGATATACTGCTTTTCCAAGAAAATGTAACTTTTAATGAGTTTATGTGATCAATAATAACACCTTCATTATGTTCACTAAATCTGCTACAATCTCTTCAATATCTACTACAGTTTTATATCAGTATCTACTCACTATTATATGGTATTATGTTATACTGATCTATTAATTATGTTTTAATCACATGTTCTTACATCCACCTTTTACCTTCACTATCGCTCCCAGCCATCGGGCAAGGGTCACTTTGGACTGGAGGAGGATACCTACCTCTAGATTTATCAGTCCTGATGAATTGCTGCCCAATACACCAGATGCCAACCCCTGTGACTATCTCACATGGGGGCACCTGGAGCAGTTTATTGTAGTTATTGGTAATCCCCACAGAACCTACATGTATTGATCAACTAAAAGAAGTTCCGCAGGTGAATTGGAAAGAACTACCACAAAATCGCTGGATGGCGCCATTGCAGTGCCACCCTCGTATCTGTGTGATAGTGAAGGAGAAAGGCCTGATACATGGATGCATTTTTTAAATAGATAATTAATAGATACAGGATATCATACTACCATAGTGAGTAGATACTAATATAAAACTGTACTAGCCATTGGTTAAACAATTTTCAAAGATTGTAGCAGATTTAGTGAACATAATGAATGTGTTATTGTTGATCACATAAAATCATAGAAAGTCACGTTTTCTTGGAAAAATGGTGAATCTTGGACACATGAACAATTTACCACTGATATTCAAAGATCTGTTGAAAAAATTAGAAGTCAGTATTACAGGATGTCCAAAAAACAGGACCGTAAGAAAGTTGAATAATTCAGTCAATTTTGCATATTTTCCCTTGAAATTTAAGAATTATCTAATTCATTCAATGAGAACTTTGTCGTGAAAGTTTCATGATAATCTGTTGATTGTGTCAAAAACTACAGTACCTTACAAAACATGCTCAAAATGGGCACTTCTTCTCTCTATGCACAAATGAATCATTCGAACAAAGTTGTTAATGACCCTGACCTGTACACATCAATGTGGATGGTACGAATTGGGGTAGTTATTGCCCTCTTAAGATTGTTAGGGGCCTGTCAGTATACATATTGGCTTTGAGAAATCCCCAAAGATAAAAATCTGAGAGATTTAGATCTGGCGAATAAGCTGCCTATATGTTTTGAGTTCTGTGACAGATGAGCTGATCACCAAAGCATTGCTTAAACCATTTCAGCGTATCATTTGAAGTGTTGGGGTGGTATTGGCTTGTTGAAACCACTGCCTATCTCCTTAGATGCCCCTTCTGGTGCTTAGTGACCTCCAAAACTTAGTGAGAACTTGAACATTCTGGTCCTTGTTCGTGGGAAAGCACGTCCCCAGTCATCTTCGAATCAAAAAGGACTGATGATTCCATGATTCCTAATTCACACTACCCTACCACGTGACCACGTTTAAAAGGGAAACAGGGTACAGCTTAGTTGCAAATGGAGGACGTTGGTTTAATTCCATATTTCTGAACGTAAAATACATTTTACATTTATTTCTAGTGTTCTACCAGACATAGAATTGATTCATCAAGCAGTGTGTAGAATATTGTTGGCAAAAAAACCACTATAGGCAAAGATAGATAATAGTGGGCGCAGTGAAGCAAAACACGAATGCAATACACGATACATTTCAGTAAATCTATCAACGTAGAGGGAGCATGTAAGTTTCCCTTCGAAAATGTTACATTGATATGTAACAAAAAACCCAGTTAAACTGCGTGTCATCGTGTTATAGGTGGATACGTTTTCTAGTATGTTAGTCAACTGTATTTTTGTGAATTTGAATAAAACATTTTGAATGATCGGTTTTTGAGGACGGTAGTGAATTAGACCATTCAAGGGGTTCTATAGAAAGATTCTTCACATGTAGTTCAGGCAATTTTAATTATTCTGAGTAGCAGATAGTCATTAATACTGAGAGCGGGTAGTCATTTATCATTAACGTGTTAATATTTAATTTCGTTATTTTATTTCAATCTGATACCTTAGTAACACGTATAATCTAGTGTTCTTGTTAATTTAATGACTAAAATGCATACGACCTGAAAGCCCGTGTCTAAATCTACAAAATAATGTTTACTTTATTTGGATTAAATAACAATTGATGACACCATCAACAGGCGGCCTTTTTAGCATTACTTTCACTGTTTGCAACGTAAATGTACATGAGGTCGGGACATAGTATGTCTGTATAATCAGCTTACTTTCTCGCTCCCTGTACTATTTAACAATTTACATTCCTTGTACCCTGTATTGATCAACTTTTGCAACTGTGTACCGTGTACTATGACATATCAAATATTTTAAAATCTAAAACGATATTATTAACATTCTTTCTTCAACTACCATATAACTTGGAACATGGACTTCACTATTGCACCACTGAAGTGTAGCAAATAGCAATATTGACTCACTCCGAGCACCAAACGTATTAACCTTTTGACTAAGCAGTCGATATACTCAAAAGCGACCTGGTTGAAAGCCAAAAGATTCGCGCATGCGCGATCGAGGTAGGGTAGTGTGTCATTGCCACCCAGGCAGTGCATTGTTCAGAATGCAATGAATGCTGTAACACTTCATCAGGAGAATGTAAGCCCCAGTATCAATTGTTCTTGGAATAAACTTGTCCATACCAAAAGAAATGTGTGTAGGAGGATCATCAACAACTTTGTTCGCCGGATTGAATCGTGCATAGAGAGGAGAAGTGCACATTTGAGGCATGTTTTGTAAGGAACTGTAATTTTTGACTCAATAGGCAGATTATTATCAAACTTTCACAACAAAATTCATATTGAATGAACTAAATAATTTCTAAGAAACATATGCAAAACTGACCGAGTTATTTAACTTTCTTATGGTCCTGTTTTTTGGACACCATGTAGCTTTAATATTTGAATGGTAAAATATGCCTATCCTAATGTTTCTGTAAATCAATGTTTATGTCAATACCTCAATGTTATGATACTTTTCTAGCCTTTTAAAAAAAGTTGCAAAATCTTTTGGCACACCCTGTATAATAGCCACCATATATTTCACTTATTTGTAGCTTGGGAACCACTGCTGAATAAAAATATCAATCTAACGATTGAAGAAATTGAAAAAGTCCACAACAATGTTAGGTCAGGAGGCTGGACCCCTCCGTGCAAACCAAGGCACGATCTCATACTTATAGTACCAGCTACACGCAGAGAAGAACATCTTAGAGTATTCCTATGGCACATACACGCTTTTCTGCAGCAACAGCTCATACAATACGTCATATACGTCGTCACTCAGGTAACCGATTCCCCCTAAGTGTTTGTTTATAGTGTGCATCCCTAATATAATAAATAATATATGCCTGATTGTATTTGAAAATTAAACTAACACCCCAGTCACATTTCCCACGGCCGTCGTGCGGTCTAACTCCGAGTTATAATTTCTACGGCGACCCTGCGGCCTGTAAAAACTGGATACGCTGTACGAAGGCCGCAAGGCGAGCGTAGTTTTCCTACGCTCGCCGCAGAAATACACTGATTTAATTGATCTGCGGTCGACGCACGGCCTCCGTGCGACAAATGTGACTGGGGTGTAAATAAACTAAATAGCATTAAGGGAATTATATACAAGAAGAGGGGGAGAAACCCCAGGGTTCAAAGATTACATACGCTTATCATGTAAATCTGTATTGAGATGACATCGTCGTTGGTTTAGCGAGTCGATCGTTGATTGGTTTAAAACTAGGTCAATTTGAAAACTTTGAAAACCAAGATGGAGGGTAAGATTTCGACAAAAGGAGGTGCGCGAAGAAGGAAATCGTATGTCATCAATTGAATCATGGGGTTTTCCCTCCTCTTATATACGTCAAGTAACATTATCGCCATGCATACCGTTCTTAATTGTAGGTTGAACCGACAAACATCTTTAACAAAGCAATGACAATGAATGCAGCGTTTATAGAAGCAACGAAGATGTACCCATATTCTTGTGTTATATTCCACGATGTGGATCTCATTCCGGAGTCAAACAATTGGCCATATACGTGTGAAACCCCTGTGGCACATTTGGCTGCATACGTGGATAGGCTACACTATAGGTACAGAAATGTACAACTTTTATTCAACAATTTCTTCATTTAATATATTCTTTGTGACTTTTTGAGTACTTAACAAACACGTAAAATCTTATAAAAAGTAATATATTCTGTTTCAATATTTTTCAAAGTGAACTTTACACTGAAACTCGTGGTATCTAAATATGTTAAATGCATTAATCAGTGTTTTCAGTAGGCTTGTCCAAAATTGCGTCCCTTGGACGTAATGATTTTCAAAAAATGCGTCTCCCCTCAAAAAACTGCGTCCCTTGAAAAAATGTTCCCGGGAATTCAAAAGTCACGTTTTTACACTGGATGAAATAAATTGATGAAATTTTGTACCGCTGCTTTTGCTATTTATCGGTCTGAATCAGCGTTCTTGCAAGTCTAGTATGTCATTGAATGATACAGATACCATCACTTGTGAGGTATTACTTATATTCACCCATTAAAAACACATTTTCCTTGCGAATTTCGAAGCAATTTGCTATTGATTTTGCTTTAGCATGTTTAGTTTAGGGGCAATCTGCGCGAGGCTCAACTTTTTAGTTCAGTTTCTTGCGCATATGCAGTCTCAAATAATGATCACGTGATCACACTTGACCAATTGAAAATGGTTTGAATCAGGTCTTAAGCTACCGGCCAATCGTAGGACTCATACTGATTACTGCTCGGAAATCGAGTATTGTATAAATTTTTGTCCTATCACATGCCTCGTACTATTTCGATCAGAAATCAACTTCCGGGAAGGAAATTTCGAAAGAAAATTTTATTTCTTTTAGAAATAGAATTTTCTTCAATTATTTATTGGATTCTGACGAAATAAAGAGACTGAAGGTAAGATCTTTATCAAATCATTCATCCAAAGTTGATTGTATGAGTATGGCTTGCACTGCGTCCACAAAACGCAATCACTTTTTATTTCCGGGTCCAAGGGATATATTTTGCGTGTATGTAATGTAAGGACGGCGTTATTGAAAACACAGATTAATACTGTAAGGTACATGTACATCAGAACTAATTCCAAAGGATTTTATTCTTTATTATATCACTGTCATTTCCTCACTCTTTGATTGGTCCATGTTCACGGTAGGAATAGTCGTCACGTGACCTTCGCAACTGATGGTGTCTGAATAAGGCGTAAGATTTTCTCGATTAAGCAAGAAAAACTAATAATTTTCATATGTATACTTTGTTAAATGCTTCAAATCCCACCCCGCTTCCTCAGTCTTTCAAATGAACCTAAATTTACAAGCAGAGGACGCATATTTTTGAGATATCACTGTTTTTTATTTCAAAAAATGATGGTGTCTGAACAGTTTTAAAATTCTGCATGATGGTGTCTGTACAGATTTTAAAATACACTATTTGGAAAGTAGTCCTCGTGTTTTCGTGTGTTTTTTAAATATATCTGCTTCTTTTGTGTGTTGTATCACTTGAACATGGTAATTTAGAAACTCTGGTTTCCAAATCCAAAGAGAGGGGCATTCTATGTTATTTTTTTTATTCCAAATGCTATAGTTTAATTTTGGATTAAACCGAAATCGACCTAGAATTGTGATGTTTGCCTGTTATCACTGCCATCCATTGATTGAACGATTTGCAAATCATGTGTGGGACAATCATCCATCAGAGGAATTTAGATACATTGTGTATTGTCACCAGAAACTGGGCGATGAAGTTATTTGATCAGACGTTATTTATCCAATATTACAAAAGATTACTTGATGTACTTGAATAAAACAATATAAAATGAATTCCATCAATCGATTTAGACTGCCCAGGGATGGTATTATTCAGTAAAACCTGTCACCTTTTGAGAGGCCAGAGAAACTATGAAATATTGATGATGTCATTGGTTGTAGGTAGAAATCTGACCAATCAAAATACAGGATTTCTTCGTGATGTCATTGTCCTGATTAAAGTCAATTGCTCTACAAAATTATGTAACATTAATAGGGTCTAGCTTCTGCAGTGTATAATAACGTATTAAATATAGGCTTTGTATAAAAAAAACTCGTACCTTATACCCACGTACCCACGTACGTGAGTCGTGATACAGTCTTTGAAGGGTTCAATTTTTAAAGATTTAAAGGATTATCCGATCAATTTTTAAAAAATAGCGCCATTCAAAGGTTCGTCCAATAGGGAAAATCTACGCTAAATTAGGTTTTAATATGTCGGGGATTTGCTAAATGGAATTGTGTGCTTCATTCTGTTTAATCACAGCAAGGGGAACGATGATTTTAGTCTCGGGGATCGTAAATTCAGCCCAACACACGAAAGTGTAATTGTTTGCTCAATTGTGGATGATGATTCCGAATTGGATGACGGGGAGAGTAGTACACCCATAAAGACAAGGTCACAATGCAACCTAAATGTTTGACGATTCCTGGAAGTCCACATCAAATGAAAAACAATTTTAGTGAAGATTGCTTCTAGTGAACGAGCATTGATAGATAAAGGATCCGTCATACTAAGTACAGTATATAAACTGCCCCCAGGTCATTCATGACCATTATGACATATAATATGGTATTTAGCGAGGAGTTAATTATGGCATAGTGTTCAGGTGCATATTAAGTGTTATTGAGGTCATAGTGACCTTGTCAAGTAAATGCATATCTGATAATAAAATATTATTGTGTGCAAAATCATCGTTTACAAAATTTATAAAATGTGAAAATATGATAAAGAATGTTGCAAAGGACAATTTTGACCTTAACCTTTGATTTTCATTTCATTTTTTTGTTTTATTATTTTATTTGGTTTAGTTGACTTAGCATGTGGATATCAGCATGTTTCGACTTGATGGTATTCTGATGTTAAGTCAATTATTCTTTCAAATGAGATGGGTATAATGCTCCTTCTTAACCTTGGGACAGCCTTATCTTGACATTCTAGGCAGGTTACCAATTTCCCTTAAGTTATTATTCAATTGTATAGTTATATTCTTAATCCACTTTGTACATTTGTAGCACGAGTATAGTAAACATCTAAAATGGTACAAAATATTTCGAAGAAAATGCGTGACATATACACATATTTAAAAGCAAATGCGTGACATACGGAACTCCCGTGAAAAGTCCGAATGGAATGCGTTCGCCTTTTTTCGACGTTCGTTTTTACCGTATCGGCATTATCAATTTCTTTAAATATCGACATTATGCGTGATTTGCGTGACATTTTATCATACACGCAAAATTGATGCGTGATTGCGTTTTTCCAGCAAATGCGTGACAATCACGCCTAGTGCCACTTATGTTAAGCAGTGATCTTTTAGTTTAGGAAAAGCCGGTGACCTGCTATCAGCTGCTGCAGAATGTAAACAAAGCCTGCATAGCTGACGACCACTAAAGCGCTAATGTGTAACTTGACCTTTTTAACATTGCTGGCATTTGGTTGCTATTAAAAGACAGCCACTTGCTTGTGAGATGTAACTAGGATTAGGGTTTCCCAATTTTGGGGGTAGTCTTAGTAAAATATGTCTGGGGGGCGTTTGCAGGAAGGGATCAAAACAATTCTTTCAATCCTGCATAGGCAAGACAATTCTCTAAATGAACAATTTTGAATCAAGTTGATCCCTTCCTGCAATTTTGAGAGATTTAATGTTCAAGTTGCCAGAATGTTCAGAGAGAATACATTTATTAACTAACCAGCCCGTCGTCAAGGTGCTTTAATCTGATAAACTTTCACTCAAATTAAGAGAAACCCTGGAAACATTAGAGGAAGGGGTAGTACTTTCACAAAGTGTTAATTTCAAGACCCAACTCAGTATTAATTACAAGCTGTAATACTATTTTTAAGATGATCACACATTTTAGATACCAAAGAGTTTCTGTGTAAGCATTTTTCAAAAAGGGTGATAAATCAAAATTTGAAAATTATAGACCAATTTCCTTATTAAGTGTATTTTCCAAACTTCTTGAAAAAGTAATGCACTCAAGAATTTCTAAATTTATCAAAAATAATAAGTTAATCAATGAAAAACAATTTGGATTCAAAGAAAACAACTCAACATACATGGCTCTTTTAACTTTTCTGGAACAAATTCGGTTTTCAATGGATAATAATAAGCATATTCTAGGATTGTATTTAGACCTATCAAAAGCGTTTGATACGATTGACCATACAATATTATTAAATAAACTTGAACTGTTAGGTTTTCGTGGAGTAGTGTTAAATTGGTTCAAAAGTTACTTAAAGATCGACCATTAAAAACTTTCATATCAGGTTCATAATCTGATGAAGAGCATTATTTACATTGTGGCGTCCCCCAAGGATCTGTTTTGGGACCAGTCCTCTTCACATTGTATATAAATGATATATTTAATGTTACCAATATGATAAAATTAGTTATTTTTGCAGATGACACAAATATTTCTCTAGAAGATGACAACTTAGATAATCTTTACTTGAGGGCAAACACTGAAATAAAATGTATAATCAACTGGCTAAAAAACAACAAGCTTTCACTCAATATAGAGAAAACTAAATATATGTTATTTACTAAATCAAGACTTAATAATATAAATAGCCATCACTACAAGGTATATATTGGTGATAACCAGATTGAAAGAGTTAACTATATAAATTTTCTTGGTGTAATCATTGATGCAAATCTGAAATGGAATAGGCATACTGAATATATTGTTTCAAAAATTTCAAAAATAATAGGCATTCTTTTCAAAGTAAGAAATAAACTATCAAGACATGCATTGTTAGACATTTACTATTCACTTGTTTATTCACATATTTCGTATTGCAACATCATATTGGGCAATGCCAACAAATCATTACTTACACCATTACTTAATCTTCAGAAAAAAGTTGTAAGACTGATTTGTAATGCAGATTATCAACAATCTAGTGTACCATTATTAAGGGAAATGAAAATCTTAACAATTTTTGACATTCACAGGTTAGAGAAATCAAAATTTATGTATAATTGTGTCAAGGAACCATCAAATTTTCCTGCTTATCTTTTCAAAAACTACTTTACA